CGCCTCGCTAACGGGTGCTATGAGTCCTCATAAATGAGGTCAAAACTAAAGACTGATTGTAGTGTTGACAATGATGATTATAAATTCGATTAAGTTCCTATGTAGCTATAGGTTAATTCATTTTCTAGCTCCGGTGACCGAGTTACGTTTGACATTGGGAATAAAACAGTGCCACCAAATCAGCATCACAAAATATTTAACAACTTATAACCATTTCTGAATATAGATAAGAAAACTGAACGATTGAATTACAGAGATATGTGTTGAAGGTTTCAGAAAATAAACCTACCAAAGACTAAAAATTCTATAAATAAAATAAAATGTTTTGCAAATAATAGATTGACTGCCATTAGGTTTCAAGAAAACATTGATAAATATTACTACATTTTGTTTAAAATAATGTGCACGACCAAAAAATCTTCCATCAAGCTGCTTGATCTGCATTTAAGACTTCTGTTGTATATTTTCAACTAAATTCTTTTCAAATTTTCACCTTTTTATCTACAATACATTAACCTTTTAATTAATTGTTTAGATCGCATTTGCAATATTCTAGTGATCTGTATTTTATAATATATGTTATGATAGTTATCGATATATGTATTTTATGTTATCAAATAATGACAGCAACTTACTTATCTGATTTTTGACAGCATTCAGTAACCTTCACTAGGCTACCATCGCCTAATTAGAGACTATTGACTGTTGGTAATACCACGAGTCTTGAAATCATTGCTTACTTAGTCTTTTTACCGTGTTTTCCGCCAGAAGGTGTTAGACCGAATTTAACACCATTCTGGTTGAAACATTTTCATCTATTGAAGCAGCACGTTTAAACTAAGAGAGCACGTTTAACAATGTCTATATAGCGATATAAATGATAGAGTCTCTCATTTCATCTTATTCGCTGTCTGTTACCAACGCGTAAGGGATCATAGATTTTCTAGCGAATAATTTTCTTAAATGTATACATCTAATACTTTTACAATATCTTTGTTTTCTATTCAAGTTTCTGCATCAAGTTCTAGAACATGCACGGTAAGAGATTTACAAAGTGTAATTTTTATTTATTGATAGAAATCCAAGTTCCACAATTATATCGTTTATGGAACAGTTGCAACACCAAAAAATTCAATACGTGAATGCTTTAAAAATTTGAAGAAACTGAGGAATATTACCAGGAAACGAATTGATCCTTTGCGGCAATAGTGCATTTCAGTGTAACCACAACAGATCAAGCAAACGAATTCTGCAAACGAAAAACAGTTGACAAATTTTTCGTTTGCAGTTAACCGCAATATTTTTGAATATACTTAGCCGGAGTTGTTGTCGCTTCACAACAATTATTCGTTAAATCTATTTTTGTGTCTATGCTGGTTCAAAGTGTTTCTGTATAAATATTTTCAAGGATGTTTTTGTGTATCTAAACTTACAAGAAATATATATTTCTTCAGTTTTTGTTGTTTTAAAATTTCTGCATAAATATTTTTAAAGTAATGTTCAACTTTTTCATAAGTAAGTTTACAATCGGCACTTTTTTAATCTTTTGCTGCATTGTGAAAACTTTTTAATGCAAGTGCTGGATTGCCTCAGTACTCACCGGGTCGGTCCCTCAGTTTCGTTTGCTGTTGCTTATCGACAACATTTTTAGTGCTTCCGCATTGTTGACGCATCTCCTACTGTTCCTGTAAAAATGTTGTTTTAAGTAGAAAAAATAGATATTCTTTCAGAAATATTTATATAAATATAATATTTCCTATGGGGATAATTTTCTGTATGTATTCAGAGCAGCACTTCAATAAATGATAAATATTTTTCAATAAAAATTAATACTTTCTATTTATGTTTTTATTTCCATTTTCATATTTTTAATGCTCAGGTGCTTTATTGTTTGTAGGTTCGTCTGTCTGTTTGTCGGTTTGTTTCGAAAAAAAAAAATTTTGTAAATATCATAGCAAACATTTGAAGCTTTTTCCTTCACGTCCTGTTAGATTGCAAGTTGTAGTTGTATTATTTACTGTATAATTGAAATCGCTATAGAAAAATTGTTTTGGGAATATTATTGTGTTTCGTTTAAAAAATATTATTAAAAAAAAAAACAAAATTATTGAGTATATATGAATGATGAAAAATATTATAAATACATACATATGTACAGTTGAATTGTTTATAGTTGAGAATGTTTTTAAATTCAAGTGATTGCAATTATTTTAATGAAACAATTGGGAATTGGATTTTTATTTTTTGCAATTTTTTATATATATTTTTCAGTGGAAAAAACAATTCATTCAAATTTTTTTCTATAACAATTAATGCAAACGGAACACCAATGCAAAAGTTTCAATCACTAAAATTTACGCGTTTTTCTCAAGGGAAAATGCGTTGAACGCATTTGTTCGAAGAGCATTTTTCAAATTATAATCACACTAAAAGCCTCTGAAAAATATCTGAAATTAGCAGAAGCAAATTATTTGCGTATAAATTGTCATGGAGAAGTTTTTTTGCGTTTTATCTCAACTCAACTCAACTATAATTATCCTTTGGTAGCGCTGAAGTGGCACATCAAAAAACGCATGTTTGTGCCGCAAATAATACAAGCGTAGGTTTTGAACTGCTCCACAAAGCACTGCTTGCGGCTCTTTGTGCTCTCGAGTATTTACCTCGCATCACAAAAACCAGAAAACTGAAAAAGAATCCGACTTGAGTTAATTAAGGACACAATAAATTCGTAATTAGCAAACGGCAAGGAAACAAAATGAGCATTCCCATTAGAAAGTGGAAGAAAGCATTAGTCGTCAACAGAAATAATTTGAGAAGACATGAAAGTATCATGGAGCAACTTCAAGTACGGCAAGACAAGAGGTAATTTTGTCCTGGAAGAGTACGAAAAAACTTTAAGACTAAGTTAGTTGGGCTTGAAAGTAAATGTTTTCAAAGAAAGGGAAAAGCTTTAACAGGGAAAGCAGAATCTTAAATTTAGCATGGAAAATAGTTTTTACTTTCTAAAAATAAAATAATATGAAATGTCAGCAAAAAAATAGCGTTAACGTTGGTTTTAAAGAAATTCCAGCGCTATACACATATATAGAATTTTATAAATTAGTTCTTTTCTACATATTTACATCAACATTTTTCTGTATTTGAATTTTAGTCGATGTAGTAAGTTGAAGCATTCAAGATAATAAAATTCATATAAAAAAATCCTAGTATCTTGAATTTTTGTCTATCTACCATATCTATACATACCATACCATATCTATACCTGGCGGGCATATATCACAAAATATTTTTTTGGTACTGTTTTTGGTATGTATAATCCATAAATTATATTGCGACAGGGGTGATTGGCACCTGAATATAGGGAGTGATTGATATTCATATCCATATACAGGGAGTAGATAAATTTTATATATATACAGCACTACATATATAAATAAGATAATATTATGGAAGTATGCATTCTATATTATGTGGCTTGGTTGAAATATTATTATTAATAATATATTAAAAAATTTAGATTTTAAATAGTTTGTTAACATAATATATTCATCAATTTGATTAATGAACGATTTCCTATTATTTCTGTTTCCAGTTATTGTACGTAATTCGCGAATATACCTCTCCGTTCCATGAGACAACGTTTTTTTTTGTACATGGTATATGTTTGATGTACCTATTAACTTTAACTCTTATGGGTTCCAATTTGATGCTTCATATGAAATACTGTTTCTGTTTTCCCTTAAGATGCGATCAAACCACTTGAAAGTACAGCTAATTTTTTTTCCAACATTTTGTGTGAACAAGTGCGGAAAGTAGCTCTAAGACACCGGATTGCAAACGCAATTTGTTCGTTATTCCGTTTATTATTGAAATAGTATAATTAAAATTATAAAATCGAGAAATACTCTTTACATCAAATATATGCATATATCTTTGGTATTTGCAAAGAAAATTTCGTTAACGATCTGTTAGTCAAGTCTTTGTTTACGTTCTTTGGGACGAAAGTCCAGTATAACCATTGACCCCCTAATGAGCTGCTTTCATTTCGTACAATCAGCTGACGTTTCAGTTAATATTTTTCATAGTTTTAGTACTTAAATAAACGTTACCTTCTCATCTCATTTTAAATCGACCTGTGTGTGTTGTTGTTATAGCCTTGGCATTAAAAATACTATTCGGGTTTTGCACAGATACCATTCTTGCAATATGGGGGGCCCATTGAAATTTTCGTGCAAAATCTGACACTATTTTCATTTTCCAATAACTCATTTACTTCTATATTTATTACTTGTCCGAAGAGTTACCTCTTCTACCTAGATTGGCTCATAACTTTCGCAAAATGTTCGGTTTAAAGATTGGGAGGCTTTCTTCATCCGATTTTGTTATTATACATGTTTCCAACTTGTGTAGCTACTTACCTTATTATTGTTGAGTATTTTAAATTACAAAAGGTTTAAATTGAAGTATAAATTGTCGCTTATTATGACAGACCACGTCATTGAGTAAGAATATCTCACTTTGTTTATTAGTCAAGTGTTTCTTCTATGGAAAAGAGTACCTTAAATCCATATGGTACACAGCAATTGCAATTGTATTTTCTTTGTGACACTAACTATTAAATAGGTTATTTATACTAACAAGTTTCTCCAACTGAATAGAAATAAAACAATTTTACAAATGATGTCCACAATACCTACTATTCGTGGAGGTATACGTATTATCTTCCTATAAACTAACACTCAAAACTAACAACCTAAGATCCATCTACTCTTTATTTTCTGCTTTGAAATACTCGTCTCTGTTTAGGAAAATAAATTTCTGCATCTAAATGTATTTCAAATTATTTAGAACTAACAGAGACTCAATGAAGTCACAGAATTCCATTAAATAACATTGATTGGAATAATTTTTAATTTTATTTGAAATAACTTCACTCTTATTTTGTATGTCGTTTTGCTTAGTACACAATATTATAATAAGTTTTTCTTTACCCTTCACAGGATCCGGATGCGTCATTTGACATTAACGGCAATGACTCCGATCCAACGCCACAAGATAATGGCGATAACAAACATGGTACCAGATGTGCTGGCGAAGTGGCTGCTGTAGCCTTCAACAATTATTGTGGCGTTGGTGTAGCTTATAATGCCAGCATAGGCGGTAAGTACAATAAATAAATAAGAAATAAGTTTCTTTACAATTTTGCAACCGTTGGCTTCATTTCGCTTTTCTACATCGAACTACTAACAACAACAGTAACGACAACAGTAACAACAATAGTAACGACAACAGTAACGACAACAGTAACAACAATAGTAACAACAATAACAATATTATGAATTTGTATCTGTGACATTATTATGCACGATGATAAGTTTTACTATCCATAACGCAAACAAGATTTATAACACGTGTACAGTTGTTAAGCCGGTAACATCAACGACCAGATACATTTGTGACTTACATTGAAATAAATCCTCTTTACAAACCCCAAAGCTCTTCACCACGTACCCTTTGCTCTTGCTTTTACGAGAAATGCGGAGCTGTAGGTACGAGCTATACCGTAGCTGTCACCTGCACTCCTTCTTAACTAAGCAGCGCGCTGCGAAATGTCACTAAATGCGCTATTACGTTTGCTGCAGCTTTTGCACTAATAATATCTATCATTGGCGTTTTTGACAAGCTCAAAGGGTTACTAAGGATATGCCTGTGATCCTGTCCTATCCTGTGCCATACCTGCGTAGCATGCACATTTTCATAAGCGTAAGCAACCTTGCTCTGTCGCCATAAATGCCAATGGGGGAATATTTTAAGCTATTGTTATAAGTTTTCCCTCTTCGCTACAGTGCGCTTGCAACAACAAAAACAGACTACTAGGTTGCGTTGTTATAACGACAAATAAGCTTACATACATGCAATCTAATGGATGTTTTCTAGTTCTAAAGTAATTGACTGCGCCAGTGTATTTTACTTGCAAGTCTGCTTGTTCGTACTCATTTCTAATGGAAAATATTCAGACAAAGGTCGCTGCAGCAACTGCTTTCACCATTTCAGAAGGGAGCTAAGTGAGTAAATAGCATTACCCTAACTGCTGGCAGTGCAATTATGCCTTAAGAGCAGCTTTAGTACGTTTTTGTAGTCATTTAATATTGGCTGAAAGCAATTTGTGCTTCTTCATGCTGTAACACTTGTGGTTACCTGAAGAGGCTTAGCGTTGTCTCATACCTCACACTCCCTTTGGCGTTCCTGTTTTCTAAAATTAGTTTAACAGTTAGAATATATACCATTTTTAATAATTAATTAAATATATATCTTTCTTTTAAATGCGAAATATTTTCACCTTGAAAGAGTTTTTATATATGAAATTAATTATTTTCACATATAAATAATATGAAGTCACACATTTTCGTTGCACCAAAGGATAAAATTTTAAGTTAAACTTACCATTAATAAAAACAAAAATATTTAATATTTCTTTGTATTCAAAAAACAAAAGGTTGTTGTAAAAATATAACACTACGGCAACCATCCTAAAGACAATATAAATATGTTAGACAGCAAAATAATAAATCAGTATACCTTAAAATAAACACAACCATACAATATAATATTTAGCTGAGCTTAAAAATTGCTTAACCCATTGAAGTGCTGAAAAACATCCTTTTCAGTTTTCCACCTTTGATGAAAGTTTACTTTTCAACCTTTTTACTCTACTCCGGCAAGGACCATAATGTATTGTCCCGTCCTCAGTGTACATGTGTGTGTATGTGATTTTAGCCACGTATACAATACATTTATCAGTTTTGTTTATTTTGAGTTTATTGTGTCAATATATATTAAAAGTGTCGCCAACATATATAAAATCGTTGATGCTGCCACTTTACTCCGTTTGGTTTGTTGGTTTACTAAACAATTTTTTTCTTCTGTAAACAAAGCATTTTGCTTTCTAAGCTTTGCACTCCCATGAGACTTTTTAGACATAAACGACTAACTTAAGGAGTCATCATGAAAATGAAACCCTTCTCCTGTGTTAAACCATACAATCTGAAATATACGTCTACCATAGAAATCTGAAGTTCATATGCGTGCGTATATGTTTGTTCGTCCTTTTGGTGTTTATGTGAGTTTTGTAAATCAATTTTGTCTATGTGTGCCTGTTAAGGATAATTTCCTCTTTAAAGGCTTTACATACTGTGTCATGCCAAAAACCTATTACCTATTCGAAAACATTTAGCATTTGTTTATGAAATGGAACAGTATATAGGAAACAGTAAATTTACTCCATCCCTTTAAATTCAAATTAAAATATATGCATATTTTCAAAAAGTTCAAAAATCTATTGTGAGCTTGAGCTCCGAAAAAATATCCAAAATCAAACTTTTTAAGACAATAAGACTTTTACTTTGAGAGAGTGATGCAATGTGTGTTGTGTAACTACGATTGTTTAAACTAAATTCCAATTTTATTATATAAGAAAACAAAACAACTAACATAATGCTTCCAGAAAAAGCTGTTTTGATGGTATGAAAGTCAAAGTGTTTAAACGTAAACATATGTAGTTTACACTTTCAAGCATTATATATATATATAGTAAATAATAACATTGTTTAACACACAAGTTATGCTATTTTTTAGCAAGTTCAAAAAACTATGTATATTAAGTCTATAAAAGTTACTAATACAATATTTTGTGAATTGAGTACTTTGTCTGACAATACTACAAGACCGGGGAGAGTCTCCCCAAATCTTTTGTTATCGAACATTGATTCAGATAAGCGGATACCCATGTGATCTTTTCGATTTCATCGTGGATGTAATCATGCGTAGACCACAATATTCTACAAATGTGTCCAGCTCCTAGCTTACCCCGACTATTTCTATATTAAAAGTTATAATAAGAGTCATATTATAGCTGGCTTTGCTTCTATCGAAACGGCAAAAGGAGAATATATCGGATACTGGTAGAAATAAGCGTCACTCGAACGCCGAGCTGATGGTTGACACCTATACTTTCGAATCTCTCAAGATTCGAACTACAACGATATCACTATAGATTTCAGACATAAATTTATCATTGCCAATAGGTGCTACAATGTGTTCAGTAGCCAATTGATTTGTAGAGGTCTCTCTCAATAGACAAAACTTTCACAAAATAAAGGAATTGAAATTATTAAAGAGAAAATTTCTTCGTAAGATCTTTAGTATCCATTGACAAGATGGTAAGACAACTGCATCTGAATGCATCACCTGCTGTACGAACTTTATTATGACGTTAATATAATTTAGCGAAATAATATCCATCGACTTCACTAGCTTTGTCATTTAGCGAGAACTAAAGATGATGCTTCAGCGGCGAAGGTATTTGAAGAGATAGTTAGAGTAAGAAGGCGTAGAAGTAGACCATGTCTCCGGTGAAATAATCAAGGTAAGGAAACACTACCCCCACTTGTTGTATGGCGTTAAGGAAGACCCGCAAGCAGCAACGCTGTCTAGTGAAAAATGTTGCGTCAGGCCGAAATCCGAAAGCTGGTTTTTATGGTCATTTAAATAAGTATATATGTAATTTTTAAAATCAATAATTCACTCAATAGCTCCATAAAAATTTCCAAATTTCAATTGTTACAAGTCGTTAGTCGCAGATTACTAAACGATTACCCAGTTTCAGTAACGACTGTCATCCTACAAGATCGAGTACTTTTACGACGACTTGCAGCTTATGGGTTACAAGCGACCGTCATCTTAGAACTAATCTAGGATATGTCCTAACCAATAATCCTTTAATCCTAATAATATATCCTATTCTATAGTTTCGAATATTAAAAATTAAAATTTTGTAAGAGTAGTAACCTTAAACCTTCAACCATCAGTATTCGACTTAAAATTTCGATTAATTTGATTCAATTACCAAGTTCCACTAAATGAACTCTGCTCTGCAACTTGAAATGCAATAACAAATTTTATGCGGTATTCACTTAAATTTCTGAGTGCACTTAAATAACCAACAACTTAACCCGCAACATGACAATCGGCTTAAATGTTAACAGTAGCGTTAAGCCTGAAAATTCCAGCATATCAAAGCCAAAAATAAAAACAAGCAGGAAACAAAAGCACAAAAAAACACAATATCTCGAAAAAAATATTGCAAAAACATAACATTAAGCAATTACAAAAACAACTAGAAAGGAGCCAGATTGGCCTAAAAGCACAACCTTTTAATTGCGAACACTAAAGGCAAAGCAAAAACATGGTGACACCAAATGCAATAACAACAACAACAACAACAGCAGCAGCACAAAAGCAAGTCAGTAATTCAGCTGAAAACATGCCATCAAAATTGACTTAATAAATTAATTACTATGCGTTTCGCTAAATACATGCATACGCACGCTCACACACAATCACACACAGTCACACATAGTAACACACACATATACCAACAGTGGCTGTCATGCAAGTCCATCGTTAAAGCTGAGGACATTTAATGCAAAATAATTTTAATTCAATGTTGGACTGGTCTGTTGTGTGTGTGTATGTATGTACGTGTATGTGCTTAATTATTTTACTCGCTGACTGATGCACTTCAGCTTTTGCTACTTGTGTGTTTGTTTGTGTGTTTGCTGTGCATTTCACTATTTTTTGCGGCCTGAAAAATGCATTTAATTTTTGTATTTGCAATTTCATTAAATTCAATGAACTGCATAAAGTTGCAATAAAAACGAGTAGTTGCCATACTTTAAATATTTAAAATTTAACTAATGCCTTAGTGGTATGTAGTTCGGGTTGAAATATTTAGAATATTCAAATAAATATTTTTAAAGTATTTAATTAGTAAATTAGGACGAGTTAATTAAATTTACAAATTCCACAAATTTAAACTAATTTTAATTTCCGAAATCCCAGTTTATTTTAACGCAAGCAAATTGCGACATTCATGCTATTGCATTAAATTAATTCATATATAAGATATATATTTCGAATTCACTTGCCACATATTGAATAACTATTTCATTAGAGTTTCTACTTAAAACATATATCTAGCTAATAAAATCTAATGAAAAAAGAGCTTAGAAAGTCTTTTATTAAAGAGTTTTATATCATACCTACAATAACTACCATATATGATCCTATCAGTCATATCATAATATCCAATTTTTTTCCAAACGTATACCTTGGAATGCAAGGCCATACTGTAATTGCGAGAAATTGCGAGAAAACACTACGCAACTCTTTTGGATAATGCAATGATATTCGATAATATCAATGATATTCGGCTATTAGATAGTAACTAGTAATCAAACAAAACTGCCAGATAGCAAGACAACCTAGGCCAAAAATCTGCCAACACTCTTCCAAGCTTAGCAAAAAAAAAAAATATGGATTGCAGACTTCCATCTTTACAGGTCACTTTTTGATAGTTATGTGTAGGTAGAATTGCATCTGGTTTCCCAGCAAATATTTTTGTCAATATATGCCACCAAAGAAAATGCACTCTTGTAAGTATAGCAAGAAGTTTCGTTTTTACAAGTCCTTGTATAAGAGATATGCTCACGACAAGTTTAGCTACCTCCAGTAGAAATGCTGTCAGATTAAGAACATTAAAGAAACAATTCAACACTTGTTATGTTACTTTCCAGATCTCCAGATCTCCCCAGATAAGGAGGTAAACTGCTTGATAAATTTCCACTTTAAAAAACTGAGTATAATTTAAATTCTTCCACTAGAGGGTGTTAAAAAGGTCAATAAGTTCACAACAAGCTTTGGTCTATGTGACTCGCAATACATTTTATAATGGTATAATGGTCACAGTCCTTATTACTAAAACATAACATATAACATTTGTTGAACATTAATTCCTACAAAATGTTACGATACAATAGTAATGTGGGGATGAAGTTTATATAATTTGATATCAATTCGATAAAAAAAAGTGAAACACCCAATTTAAAAAAAAAATGTATCCATATTTTTTGTTGGAGTTCTTTTTTCGTCACGGTCTACATTTAATTTTATACATTTTTACCAAGAATAATTCGATTTCTTGTACCATAGTAATAATATTGTGTTGTTTCATAATCTTCAAAATATGTACTCACGACAAAGCCTTCTCTATATTTGGAGTTAATTTTTCAGCATTCATCCTAACTATCAACTTTGAAAACGAGAAATATCCATTGCGGCTACAGATGGTTAACAGTGAATGAGGGCAATAGTTAATTAAGTTAGGTCTATTAGCTGATTGTATTATTGTATATGAATTCAAAGATTAAAAATCCAAAAAACAATCGTTGGAGACCTCGTTGGAGACCTCATTGGAGAACTTGTATATAAACTCTGTACAGTGTTAAATTCCAAAATTAAAAATATACCCAGAACTACGGATTTGTATTCTCTGATATAATTTATTTAAGTTAATTACGATGAAATAAACTATTTTATCTAAAAGTTTATAAATAAATTGATTGTTTAAAATTCTGTAGAATTTTTCAAAAGCACAGTATTTGCTTTCCAAGCCCTATATTTACACATACGTATAAACACTGCACTTAAAATATTTAATTAAATCTTATTACCAAATTACATAAATTTTACAAAACATTAACGAACACAAAAAACAGCATAGCAAGCATTTTATGTGAAAATTATGTTAAATTAAAAAAAGTTAAAGAGAAAAACTTTTAAGTTGAAACTTACAAATTCGCGGCGCATAATGACTTCCGCTTCCGATAGGCTTCCTAGCGAAATTGCACAAAAAGTAAACATTTTTCTGGTAAGTCGGACAACGAGACAGAATGCGCAAAGTAACTGCGGCACAGGACCGAAGAAGGAAGATCGAATTAATTAAAATGCGGCAATGAAAATTGTCCTTTGCACTTAAGCGCAGACAAAGGCAATAAAGACTAAAAGGACATTAAACACGAAATACTTACTTTTTCCAATAACAGAATGAAAACGCAGGGCATTGTACAACGATAAACAGAACGACAAAATGAAACAATATTTTCTTCACACAATTTACATGTGTTGAATTTATTCTGAAAACCGAAATGAAAATTCATTAATAATTGTTAACAGCAATTATAAATTTTTTAATACTCTTAATAATTTAATACTATTTATTTTATTTTAATTTCTTTATTTGTTCCGTTTTATTACAGGTGTGCGTATGTTGGATGGCAAAGTAAACGATGTCGTGGAAGCACAAGCACTTAGCTTAAATCCTTCGCATATAGATATTTATAGTGCGTCATGGGGTCCTGAGGATGACGGTTCGACGGTTGATGGTCCTGGTCCATTAGCGCGTCGCGCCTTCATATATGGCGTAACAAGCGGACGTCAAGGCAAGGGCTCTATCTTTGTCTGGGCATCCGGCAACGGCGGACGCTACACAGACTCCTGCAATTGTGATGGTTACACAAACTCAATTTTCACTCTCTCCATTTCAAGTGCAACACAAGGCGGGTATGTATGTGTTCAGATAGAATGTTGCATTATGTGTAATTATATAGTATGCTTGTACAACTATATAAATACTATTCATTTAATATGCATTAATTAAAAAGTTACTTACATGGAGTGTAATAAAAATCACATTACAAACGAATATAAAACTCTATGAAGAAGTTTTGGTGTAGTAATAACCAAATATAGTAATTTCTGTTCCAAAGTCGCTATTAATATTTAATGCCGAAAAATTAGCATTACGCATTATATTATTTACTAATTTGAAAAATAATTTACTAAAATCTACAAATTGAATAAATTTTTAATCAAAATCTCATCAGTGGATTTGTCATAAACATTAAAGAGCGTTTCACAACACTAATTCACCGCTGGAAGGCCGATAACGTTTATAATCAAACCGTCTTTCACCATTTGCGGTTCGAAATCAATTTAAAATATCAATAATTCAAATAAATGAAATTGAAAATAAATATTTTTAAAATTAGCATAAATCATTTTAATTTCCAATTTGAAGAGCACAAATTTCGTATCAATTGCGTTCCCACTCGCAACGAGCATGAAATAATTCAAATGTTATTGGTTTCATGGCTAACCCCAAAAGTATGCAATACTTTTTGTGCAATGACAACAAACCGTCAATGTTCAAATATTTGCGAAGCCACAAATTAAAATTTCAAAATCGAGAATTCCTTTGAAGCCTCTCAATAAATACATCCTCGAATGTATTCTATAATGAACCTGATTTTTTATGTGCACTCGACGAACTACAAAAATATGAAAACAAAAGTATTTTCGTATTAAAACAATTATGGTTGCAATTAAAATACGTGTTAGTCCACACACACACACATACCCATCTATATATAGCATTTGCACTTGAGTGAAACTCATACGCACTGAGCAACTGAAATTTGCTTTATGACCAAATTGTCTGTTGTAGCAAATCGATTGAATATTTTAATATCTTTTACCGCAAACTGAATTCGTACAGAATAAAATAAATGAAATTGCATATTACGAAATTAAACAAAGCGATATAAACTATTAAAATTGTTGAACGTTTCTGGTTTTTTGATTTATATATGCAAATAATAATGGCAACTGTGTAAATACAGCAAATGCAATCAGAACGCACTTACACACGTATCACTTTTATTACATAGATGCATAAATTAATTTAAGGTAATTATGTGGATTTTTAAAGCTTTTAATGCCATAGAGAATATACAATATTATGGCTCATTCCTAGTCACAAACGTATACGCAAACACTCATGAGCACCAGTGCTAAGTATATGGACTTTATTTATTTATTATCAATTAACAAGTGGCATTTATGACGCTTTAAAATGAATATAATACTTTCGAAATATTATATATGAATGAGCATTTGTTAACGCTTCAGTTGGAAGCACCACAAACTAATTGCCAATTATAAGCTTTTTTATATTTAATTTGAATAATTTGCATAGCATTAACATGTTTTAATGCTTTATTAATACATAATGAAAATAACAAATAATTATTTAATTAAAGAGAGAATATTTATTAATATATCACTACCGTTCTTCTCTTTCTCTGCTTTAGCTTTAAGCCATGGTATCTAGAGGAATGCTCATCCACATTGGCGACTACTTACAGTTCTGGCACGCCTGGTCACGATAAAAGTGTAGCTACAGTCGATATGGATGGTCGTCTGCGTCCTGATCACATTTGTACTGTAGAGCATACAGGTACTTCTGCGTCAGCGCCACTTGCAGCTGGCATATGTGCTTTAGCATTGGAAGCTAATCCCAACCTAACTTGGCGCGATATGCAGTATTTGGTAGTGTACACATCTCGTCCCGGTCCGCTTGAGAAGGAAAGTGGCTGGATATTGAATGGTGTTAAACGCAAATACAGTCACAAATTCGGTTATGGTTTGATGGACGCAGGCTCTATGGTTAGCTTAGCAGAACAATGGACCTCAGTGCCGCCACAACACATTTGTAAATCACGTGAAAATAATGAGGATCGCAAAATTGAAGGCACTTACGGTTACACTTTGGCTACACACATGGATGTCAATGGCTGTGCTGGTACAATAAATGAAGTGCGTTACCTGGAGCATGTGCAATGTCGCATAACCTTACGCTTCTTCCCACGTGGTAATTTGCGCATTCTACTTACTTCACCCATGGGTACTACTAGTACGCTACTCTTTGAACGTCCGCGGGACATCGTCAAATCAAATTTTGATGATTGGCCATTTTTGAGTGTGCATTTCTGGGGTGAGAAAGCAGAAGGCCGCTGGACATTGCAGGTCATTAATGGCGGCAGAAGACGTGTTAACCAACCAGGTATACTATCCAAGTGGCAGTTAATATTTTATGGTACCGCAGTGCAACCAATGCGTTTGAAAAGTGACTTGATGAGTCAGCAAGTACGTGGTCCTGGTTTAAATCCATTTGCTTTTCCTACCGAATCGGATTTAGGTCAATCTGTAAATGAGGGCGGCTACTTTAATACGGATCAGTTTTCGGGCTATCTTAACTATCAGAATCTATTCACTGGCGCTGGTTCCAATCCAGAACAAGCAGTAGCCACCGTCGATGGCCACAATATACCAACTCCACAACGTCAAAATGTTATGGCTGACTCCAATAACAAACTTGTGCTCCACGATTGCGACCCAGAGTGTGATTCACAGGGCTGCTATGGCCGTGGCCCAACACAATGCGTGGCTTGCAAGCACTACCGGCTCGACAAGTAAGTGCAAATATTAAAACTTGTGATACGTATGCAAAAACTATTAATAAATAAATATTTTTGAAAAAATATTTTAGCATATTTATTACTGTAAGAAATACAAACAAAATGAAGCAAATACCAAATATTTATTGTTATATTGATTAAATGAAATAAATTTATTTACCAAAAAGTGTTAAAAGTTTTAATAATGAGTTCTTGGTAGAGAAAAAGTACAATTTATATTTATGGTACAAGGACGGTTTGATAAGTCAGTAAGTTTTTGAATAAAACAAATTTGTTTCGGCAAATAAACTTTTTATTTCTCTACATAATCACCTTTTAGCTCGATATATTTAATCCAGCGTTTTTCTAATTTTCATATTCCCTCCAAATAATAGGTCTTCTCAAAGCTCTCAAAATACGCGTTTGTTTCGGTAATGACTTCTTCATTCGACTCAAATCTCTTACCGCCCAGCCATTTCTTTAGGTTTGGAAACAGAAAATAGTCGCAGGGGCTAAATCTTAAGAATATGCTGGATGGGGTAGCAGTTCGTAAAAATTCACGTGGTTGTCTGCTTTGAACGGCTATCAAGCACCAACTGAACGACGTAGCTTGGTCAAAATTAGAAAGTTGCCCACTGATAAACTACAGTTGACGGCAGCACTGTTGCATTTGGAGTAACTGCGCGGAAAATTCAAAAAGTCATTGACTTATCAAACCGCCCTCGTATTTAAAATTAAAAATCAATATTACTTAAAGAAAAAATTAGTTAAAGCTAGTCTTATTCAAATGAAATATATAAAATGATTGAATTGAATTTGATTATCATATAGGCAATATAAAGAATCTTTTATTATTTTCACAGATAACAAATATTTAAGAATAGGATTTCATATCTAAAAGAGTCTGTGCTAGTAAAAAAAATTGAAATTTAATATATATTTCAAGAGTTTTTTATTATTTTATTGAACTAAAATTGTTTTTCTATTTTAGCACCTGTGTAAGTCGTTGCCCACCACGTTCGTTTCCCAATCAAGGCGGCGTTTGCTGGCCTTGCCATGAGTCTTGTGAAACGTGCGCCGGTGCTGGTCAAGACAGCTGCTTAACATGTGCACCTGCACACTTGCATGTTACTGATTTGGCAGTCTGCCTGCAGGTCTGCCCCGACGGTTACTACGAAAGTAAGTTACAGCTGTTTAAACTGTTAAATTTTTCACACATTCTGCTCAGCAAGTTCACACTTTAATGCGCACCTTTGACCTTCTTGCAGATTACGACAACAAAACATGTGTGCCATGTGAAGCAAATTGTGCTTCCTGTCAAGATCGTCCCGACTACTGCACCAGTTGTGAACATCACCTGGTTATGCACGAACACAAATGCTACTCAGCATGTCCGCTGCACACCTATGAAACGGAAGACTACAAGTGAGTAACTGGCGAACATTAAATACTAAATTCACACATTTACTATAGAACATACCCTGCATTTATCGAGTATGAATAACGTTGCAAATATTTATCTAATATATACATGTTTTAAAGATATCAATGTGCAAGCATGTCATTAAGAGGCAAATTGAATGCGGCATTGAATTCCTGGTACATTGGTTTGGCAAGTGAACGAAATTGTATGTTGGGTATCTCAAGCCACTGAACAGTTGCTTGTGGTTAACCGCACTGCGGTTACGTCTTGGTTACTATTTACAAGCATTTAAGTAGCTTGCATCGATGCAAGCCACTACCGGCAGAAGGCAAGAAAACTCCAAATGCTGCAAATCCGCCATAAGTGCACTTATGCAAAATGAAACGATTTTCAATTATTGCAAGACTATCAATGCTCAACATTTAGGAATTTAAAATATTTACTCAAGACATTTCAAAATAATGCAATTCCTTAATATTTACGATGTTAATAGTTTTAATTTTTTTGTTTTTATTTAATGAACATTTTATTTCCACAACAAACACATACTTCTTTTATATATAGGTGTACACATATTAACATTATTTAATAAAATGTTTAGGAATTACTGAAATGGAGACTTCCAAAGCAATTTTATACAGTCTATACTATATATTACCGTACAGGTTTAATTATTTTGAAAATCCCAAATCTTTTTACAGGAACTCTGCTGTCTATAGGATTTAAAATGCAACTTTTATGCTAATTATAAAATCAATCAGTATATCTGTAACTTAACTATTAATTAATAATATTAAGATATTTGTGAATGTGTGCATAGAAAACATATAACGTAGTGTGAACTACGAATAGTTGGAAATATATATGCACACCAAGAGAACAGAGGACTTCTAATTTTAGTTGTTTGTTTTGATAATTATGAAACTATATTCCTTCTGAATGCATAATATATGTTTTTACTTCCAATTTATCTAAAATTGATTTCTAACTTAAAATGAAGAGTATTTATTGTTATGTTTTTTTCAGAAATTCAAAGTCAAATCATACAGACTTAGCAACTATTATACCTAACAATAACCAGAATCATTAACTTTATTATATTTTCCAAAAAAATATCTCAAATTTAATAAAATATTTAGCAAAACGCTCAGTTTCCATTATTCCAATTATTAATTAATATTCGAAAAATTAACATTACGCAGTCAAAAAAAAATTAAAAATTAAATATTTTTAGTTTAATAATAATTATAACTCATAGCAATGTAAACTATATAACTATATAAAGCCTTTAAATAATATACCCCCTGGATCTATCTATGTGATCAACTTACTCTTCCAGCTGAAGGCTATACATTACTAGCTTAGCTTTTAGAGTTCCAGATATATGGTGTCTAATATTTTAGTACAAGTTTTTCATAGTTTCAATTATTTAATCTTATCAGTATCAATGATAAGATATGGCAAATTTGACGGCTACTATATGCCCACTCCTATTAACTATATCTTTCAACTATAATCCCATTAAAATCCATATTAGATTTTGTATGAATACTAAACACGAATAACAAGACAAAATAATATCACAAAGATAATATAGAAGCTTATATTTAATAATTGAATGGTCTCAAGGATATAAGTTGATCATTACTAACAAGTCTTAATAATATATCATTCGAATTAATATTATACTACAAATTTTTTGAATTTATTTTTTATTATATTTATTGAATTTATTATTTATATTTATCTATTATTGAATTTATGTGACACGATTTTCATACACACTGTGTCACGATATCTCACGATTTTCGTTGAGATCATCCCTGACTTATAAATATTTTCCATAGTTAACGAACTGGTATTGAAACACTACTTTTCACTGTGCTATTATGAATTTATACTGACTGATATTAAGAATTGTATTACAATTTAAAAATTCATAGATTTGTGAGATGTTCTACTTTTAATATACCAGGTGTACCGATATGAAGTGAGCGTAAAGATACAAATGTTCCGACAGGGAACATTTGTTGTGAACGAGCCTTTAGTTTTTTTTTGTTTGTTTGCTATGACATGTGTGAAATATATTTAGTATACATCAAGTCATTGAACAGACAACATCATATTTCTTCATCGTGTTAAAAATGTCGAATTTTGTACCAGAACTTTCTGGTACAAAATTTGATTTGCGGAAAGCATTAATTTTTTGTTTTCATTTGAAGAAAAGTGGTGCAGAGTCGCATCGAATGCTTGTCGAGGCATATGGTGATCATGCTCTATCAGAAGCAACATGCAAAAGATGGTTTCAACGGTTCAGAAATAATAATATTGATGTGAGAAATGAAGAATGTGGAAGACCGCCAAAAAAGTTTGAAGACGCCGAATTGCAAACGATATTGGATGGAGATGACACTTTGGGTCAAAAGCAAATGGCAGAAATGTTAAATGTTGCACAACAAACACTTTCTGACCGTTTAAAAGCTATGGGAAAGATCCAAAAGTGTGGAAAATGGGGATGGAAAACCGAAAAAACACTTGTGAAATTTTGCTTCAAAGACACGAAAGAAAATCGGTTTTGCATCGGATTGTTACTGGCTATGAAAAATGGATTTATTTTAAGAATCCTAAATGGAAAAAATCATGGGTTAATCCGGGACAACCATCAACATCGACTGCAAAACCAGATCGATTCGGCAAGAAGACAATGCTGTGTGTTTGGTGGGACCAGAAAGGTGTGGTGTACCACGAGCTCCTAAAACCTGGTGAAACCGTCAATGCTGGTCGCTATGAACAACAAATGATAAATTTGAACCATGCATTGATCGAGAAACGACCAGAATGGGCCAGAAGACACGGCAAGGTAATTCTGCTCCATGACAATGCACCTGCACACAAAGCAAAACGGGTTCAGGATGCAATCAAAACACTTGGCTGGGAGCTGCTACCCCACCCGCCGTATTCACCAGACTTGGCTCCTTCCGACTACCATTTGTTTTCATCGATGGGACACGCATTGGCTGAGCAGCACTTTGATTCCTACGAGGAGGTCGAAAATTGGGTGTCTGGTTGGTTTGCTTTAAAAGACGAACAATTTTTTTGGCGTGGTATCCACAAATTGCCAGAAAGGTGGTCAAAATGTGTAGAAAGCAATGGCCAATACTTTGAATAAAATATTTTTTATTTTCCTATTAATAATTAGTGTTTTATTTTCACCAAAAAACGCTCATTTCATACCGGTACACCTAATATAAATCTTTTTTTTATATTATAAATTTCGTTATAGAATTCACATGTCCCGAATTGTTCCCTATAAGTTTTTTTATTACTCAATGAGGAACTTATATGGATATGAAGAATTAGAAAAGAACTTACTAACTTACTGGCCGTGTCGAGTATCCTCCGCCAGCCAGCCCGATAAGTGGCTTGCTGTCACTAGTTGGTAGTATCGAGTGCCTCCAAATCGTTGGTCACATGGTTCTTCCACTGAATATACGAATGTCCTCTACCACTTTTTCCACCTGCGGGTACCAAATCAAACAGCTTCCAAGCCGGTGCACTGAATTTCTTCACATTTTTATAAAGTAAAGAAAATATAATATTATTTTACGAATTAAAAGCGCCATTAGTTATAAATCGTGGATGTAAATTTGATTTCCCTTTGTTATAATAATAATAGTGGTGCTGTGTACAAATCTATGATGGATTTACATAGACTTTAGATAATAATATCGAAATTTTCATAAATTATTAAATTTCTCCAAAATCTGTTAATCAAATGTTCAAAAATTTATATTGCATTTTTCTATAATTGTTAAGGATTTATAATAATTTTACAGCCTTCATCACTTAGTGTAATTAAAAGCCTGTAATTTTATATTTCAATTTAACTACTCTTATTGCACAAAAATATTTGTAAATTAAGTGAAAATAGCAATATTTATTAATTCATTGTTTAATACTAAATAAGTAGCGAAAAGGATTACTCAACACTTCGAAATGAGGCATTGGGCCAGATGAGGGCAAATGTGTTTCTATAAATAAATTTTATTTAATTTAAAGTGCAAATACTTTCCCGCTACGTATTTGCATAGAATCGGTTGTGCGGCAGTGCAACTATATATATGCACATATAAATCTGCAGTAAATCAGTAGAGCATAGCGCAAATATCACGTGTTGCAATGCAGAGGCTCGTATTAGTAAAAATGAACTTGAATAAGTAAATAAGCAGGCAAGAAATCATAAGCGAAAAATTCGTAAGCGAAAACTCCACATGCAAACTGCAGGTGGTTACGTTGTAAAGGAGCTGCTGGTGCCAAACAGTGCAGGCTCTGAATAAATGCAGATACGGGTTTATATATACAAATTTTCCTATTATTTTTGTTATTCTATTTAATCAAACAATATTTGTTGGGAGTTTTGTTTGTGTTCACATATGCAAGCAAAATAAATTGAATATTTCGTAACGCCAAAAAGTATGCTTCAGTATTTTATGGTTGTTAGCCAAGTGCTCTTTACTTAAGCTTATATTGTCAATAAAATTGAAAATGTAACTCCAAAGAGTGACTTTAAAATAACAGGAAATATAAAGTTAAGTTCGCAAAATCTTGAAGACAATAATAACAAAAAAAAAAAAAATAATTATGTGACGGTGGTAAAATATAAGCTAAATCTTTAAAAAATTCTAAAAACGAAGAGATTTGATAAAAAAATGTATTGTACATTAAGTTGTTTATAAGTAACAGTAACCATTATATATCTCTTATAGCAAATTTCGTTTTTGAGAATTCTGAATAAACCTAATATTTGAATATCTAAGACCCTTTATTGGAAAGAATATTTATATTTTAAAAATGATTTTCAATCAGTATCTGCGGATTTTTGTAATTAACTCTTCTCTATGGTTTCAACTATAAATGTAAAAATAAATAAGTAAATAATAAATTTACTCAATATTTTCTTTTGAAAGTATTTGGTATAAAGAAAAAACTACTTTATATCGAA